AAGCAATGGATCAACTCATCTGTCAATCAATGTTTTAGCTTATCAATCAATTAGCTAGGCAAGGAATGGATTAACTGAAAGTCAATCTACCATCAACCAATTCATCAATGAATCCATCTGCCCAATCAATGGCCTACTTTCAAAATTCTGGTCACTAGATACATGTAGATAACTCTTGTTTCTATGAATCCTTGTCTTCAGGTCTACTGTTTGTGACTATTCAACCAGAATATCGAAAGTCAGGTCTACAAAGCTCCCAAAGAATCACACACTGTACTTCAAATTCATAAAACTATCATTTTTGAGAAGGTTCACTTACCAAATATATCTCCGCCTTCRACTGAAGGAAACATCTTTGGCTCAGGTAAAACCAGCTCCTTCATTAACCGTACCCATTCRTCAGTATCAAGTCTATTATCGCCGGACAGAAATATTCTTATTTCAGGAGCAGCAATTTGAAATGCATGCTGGTGCGTTCTTGAATGTACATTGTCTATATTCCTTACTCCACAAAGTGGAATTATTGTTTTATGTCTGTTATCGATACAGGCTTTCTCACTGTGGTAGTATTCGAGTCTTGTTTGGCCATATTTAGACCTTCTTCTCAGAACAAACCATTTTCTCTTCCAAACCTATATCAAAGTTATGAAGATGTTAAACTAATGGTTTCTCATGGTGCCTGCTTTAGTTTTGGCTACGCAAGCTGGTTCTCCTTGCCATGCAGCCAAAACAAAAGGAAGCAATAAAAAGTTAGCATAATATATTTATCACAGCAATTTTTTTTGAATGATTTAGCTTTCATGGTGTGAGCAAAGCTGAGATTTTAAATTGTTATATGTGATAAACCAATAAAAAATAAAACACTTTTCAATAGCATCAAATTTTGTAAAACATTACGTCTGCACACATGCAAGGGCAAAATGAATACCACATCATCAATATATGTATCATAATCAGGACAAACCTGTCTAGATATTAGAGAGTTTTAGATATGCATTTACTGCGAATGCCAAATGTCAAAACTGATCACGTGATCACTGGTTTCCTGTGTTAACGATCTGTTCTTTCACGATTGTGTATAAAATAGATCACTTTTTCGTGCATAAGCGCATCACTATTCCTTTCGAAGCGTTTTTACCTTTGTCTTAAATTTTGAGGCAGCAGCAAAAAAGCCAATTTGATGTTTGACGTTTGCAGTGAATCTAAAAACTCTCTACTAATTTTGTTCAAAAACAGCAACAAGCAACAAAGTAWGCCAGATGTTGTACAACATCTTTCAAATTTAACATAATAATTATTTATTTAATGTATTCACGGTGCAGTCTCTCAAAGTAACACAGTACYCTTGAACACACAGGTGGTAAAGGCCCTAAGGCAAGATAAACTTTGGTTATAATAACAGTGTAGATACAATGACCATTTACAAGTTCCCTATTATCAAAACATGCAGAAAAAGAAGGTCTAARAGCAGTTTATGGTCACAAAGAGGTACTGTAACTATTACGTACCAATCATTTGCAGTCAAGGTCAAAATTCAATAATTAATTTGTTGTTATTGAATTCTAAACTCATGTTGAGAATGAAAACTGCACCTTAATTACTAGCAAAAGTACTAGAAACAAGAAGCTTTGAAATATTCAAGCAAAAATAACAATTACAATGTAAAATAGTACAGAAAGGAAAAAAATATCGTCATGTGACTGGGTGTTTCAATGTTTATTTTAAGAATTGCTGATGTGACAAATAAAGTTGAATACATGAAATATTTCTATATATTCTCTCTCTACCTCCCTTAATTGATGTAATTGTGTTCTGTTCGTTCTGTTGTGTTATGTAMGATAAATTTCTAACGCGAAAACAGTCTAATTATTGTATCACAAATAAGACCTAGTCACACCTGGTAATTAAGTGGGCCCCCACGAAGGCAAAAAAATTACACCAATATCACTTAAGTTTAATTGCGATACAAAAGAAAAAGAAAAAAACAACACTACACTTAACCTAACATTTTACTTAGAAACGTGACAAGGTTCCTTAGATTTGAAAAATGATAAGRTATATTTCTAACTCAATGAGCCAGTCACGAAAGGTTGTTTACGACATATATTCAAATAATGAAATTCTTTAATATGAATGAAAGCACAAACAATTCCTTTTCAATAATAATAATAAATATAATAAAAATCCTAAATCGTGTCTGCGAATGGTTTAATAATAAGGATTGTGGAAAAGACGCTRGCTTGTTTTTGTACCAACCAGTTCCAAAACAAACGTAAGCTTACCACAAAAGAAAAAAACATCGAAAATAACAAAATTTCAACTCCCTGATTCAAAACCTTGGGATGACGGACGATACAATCAAAAAATAGATATCTCTAATCTGTACACAAACTATTTTCATTTGGTCTTATTATCAAATGATTTATCTGTGAAGTGAGTGAGAAATGACTTTAGGAAAGTGTGAGCCAYACGTTCAACTTGTTTACAGTTGGTCCACGCCGTCGGCAAACAAAGCCGCTAAATTCTTTACGAAAAAAACACTGGCCTAGCGATTAAATAAAAGCTTAAATTTCCTTTTATTTTAAGACACTTCACAGGAAAATACCAATATCCATGATAAGTTATAAATAGTTTCTCCAAATGAGAGAGACGAGCTGACGTTACATAAGTTAAGCAGTCAACTGTTGTTTTTCTTTCATAAGTCGACGTGCAGAGAATAAATTACGGTAAGWATGGTACGGATTTAAACAGCTTAAACTTTAACCCTTTCTCTAGAAACCCTTCCCCTAAAAACACATACCTTCTGAGTCATTTTACGCTGTTTACGAGGAAGTTTCATCTCTAGATATCCACACTTAACTAAGTCTTCGTACGTCGCCATAATGGTGTCAGTCAGTTGTAGAAGATGCTTTCATTTTGTCATAAACAGGTCCAGTCCCACTTGAAACTTGGTAGAGATACTCGATGGTTAAAACCCACACACGTTTATWTTAGAAACACGATAGTGCTTCTAAGTTTTACGCTAACATTGACTTAATTGTTTTCGGGAAGTGAGCTTCTCAAATCTCTCTAACCGGCGTGCCTGCTGTGACATGAGATGTTTTGATTACATGCCATTTGACACAATAARTCTCTAGGGGGGAGGGGGAGGAGAATTGAAAATGAGGGGGAGCTACTAGCAACTGGTCAATGTTGAATTATTCATTGGATTTAGTCATTGTTTATACCCTGAGGACACTACGTTAATTTTCCCTCCTTTAGACAATAAACCAGAAGAAAATAAGACAAAGAGMCAGACATTTTTTCCTGTATAATTGTCTACACGACAGGTTCCGAATTTTTTTCTTTAATTTCTTAATCGCGTTTCCACGATGGGCTGCCTGTGTTGTAAAATGTTATTTGTCGTCTTTCCCGCATATTAATAATTTGTTAACTCCTTCTCAGAATTACAAAGTATTAACCTAATCTTTAATAAAAACTGCAGCAGTTATTTTTTTCTTAGCGCTGTTTACGAGTCAAAAACGGCGCGCATTGATACGTAATTCATCTTCTCGTGCTCTAACAATTATTGTCAAAAAACTTGAAGACACAATCCTATCATCGCGTAATTTCTTGTGTATTTCATGGATAATTAAATAATGTGAAAGCAACCATTATAAAAGGTCGTTGGATGACACAGTCGGCCACGCAGCCTACAAACGCAGCCGTAGGATCAAGTCGAGCGCGTTAAAAAGCCCATATTTGGACGATAACCACCCCTTAGTCTCCTTGAAAAACGTTTTAGTTTCGAGTTTCCCTTGGCCTCTGAATGCACAGGAAGCCCATAACTAAATACATATTTAACACAACCTAGTTTTTGAGCCTTTTATCCTGCGTTGAATAAGTCTCCATCTGGTCATATAAACTAAGGACGGGAGCCAAACGATTCCCAAAAACAAATAAACAAAAAATGAAAATTCTCATATGGCTCCATATATTCAACGTTTTGTGTGAACTGCGCTAGTGATATAACTGAATTTATCGAAAATCTGTACTAAAATCCGCCCATGTCTCTCCAGTTGAGCTCTATCTATATGACCTGGAGTGAACGATCTCCATACCATCCTACCTCCTAGCACGACCAGACGGACAGCTGCGCAAATGTTTGCGCCAAGAAAGTCACGGATGACGCCAGCCATGAGCACGACTGCTCAAAAGAGTTTTTTAAAACAGAAAGCAAAAGTGTGTTACAAAACGCAAGATCCATCTCAGCTAGTTAAATGCGTGGGCCTGCGGTTCAAGTGACCCTGGATTACCTAGGGCCGTCCAAGGCACAGAATGCACTTTCTCATGAAGAAAATATTGTTCTTAGAAAAACAAAAAATAATTGATAGGAATGATAAGCAAAAGATATAGATTCGACAAGTCAGTGCCATCCTAGTTTGAGGAAMAACAATTTGCGCAAATGGCTAATCGATTTAAAATACAGATGACGGATTTGTAGTTTTTCGCTTTYCGGCACAATCTGTTCATAAAGCATTTGAATCCTTATTTCTCAAAATCATTCCTATGTCTGCTTCTAGTAATGCCTAAGTTTATGTCGTCCCATTTTCGCTTTTGTGAGCCCCCCAGCGCAATGCCCTGGTTATGGTACTGCAATTCACACCGAGATTCCATCCGAGCCGATCACTGCGCGCTTTATTGATAGCGCCTTTAGGAACAGTGCGCACAACCAGTTGAGATTGAAAATGGATCATAAAAATCATCATAATCATTTCAAGAGCTACAAACGTCAACAGTATATTTCAGTAAAATTTCCTGTTGAGACATGTATTTTGTAAATCAKGTCTCTCCTTTCACGTTTCAGACCTATGATTCCAAGCGTCAYTGGGTGCGGATCAAACATTTTCTGTTTTGTGCTCGAGGTCATGATAAAACATTGGCTACTATTCCTTTTGTTACGTAGACTCTGAGGCGACAACGTCTTCTGTTAGTGCTGAACGAAATAGCCCTAGTAATTGGATGATACGTGAATGTAAAATTTGGATACTCCTTCGGTATTTGTAAATATCTTCTCTTTTTTGTACTTCAATTCAGTAGAACATTTAATTTCGATTGCGGGCGAGACTGCTGCACAAATTATATGTACCCAGAAAATTGTGAAGAATGACATAAGACTGAGAGAAAATTATTTATCGAGAGGGGATTCGAAAGGTACGACGTACAGGCCSGGTGCGAAGACTATCGGTGTAACATGATTATGGAGAAGACAAGAAATAGAGTAGCGCACTAAGTACACTTTATTGCTCTTTACCGTTCACGCTTTTCTTTGTCGTTTTTGGTGCATCAGACATTAATACATATTGAATTTTGCACCGACTTTGTTTCACGGACTATAAGTGAAAACCATCCCAGCGTTCATTTTAGAGTGGTTTTGATAGGGTGGTCGGTGTTYTTCATTAATCCATGAAACAGTGTACCAACCAAAGTGTAATAATGTGTAAATCTTCGAAAAGGCAAAGAAAAACGTGCAAAATAATTAAGGATGGATTGCTGTACGTTCAAAGTTGAAATAAAAAAATGGTATGTTGGGAAAACACTAAAAAAGGCTTTAAAAATCACGAGCACAGCGTCTTGCCGGATGACCAGAGGCTGAATTCACTTTCTCATATATAGTTTATTTACGGCCGCCTCAATTGAGTTATATATATAGAGGGGGAGCCACTGCGATTGAGATGGATAGCCATAGAGAAAATAAAGATCTTGAAATGATTTCAATACTAAAAGATACAAAATTAAATGATTAAAACGAAATAAAAATAAAACGGATGCATATGACATCGATCACATCGAATAGAATATMAAAAAAACTCGAATTCCCTCTTATACGGAGGTCGAAAAGTCCAACTTTTAAAGGCTTTAAGAGGGTCTTATGAGAGATTGATTCAGTTCTGACTAATATCTTTACAAAAAGTATCTCGACAAAAGAGAAATATCAGTTAAGAAGTTCTAAAGATAAGAAGGGAAAATTTCCTCTTATGTCAACACTGGACTTGCTATCAGGATTTCATATTTATAAAGCATTGAGTGCTTGAAAAGCGCTTAAGGCAGGGCAGAGTGACCAACTGTTATAGTAAGCGAGACGCTTGAAATATCATGGCGCCGTTTTATCGGAAGTTTTTTTTATTGCAATTATACGGACATCGAGAAATGAATACCGCGCCACAAACTACCTTTTTGGCTACTTCGTTCCACRTGTGGTAAACAGATATATGMTTTTGTATCAAATTAGAGCYGTCACTTCCTTATGTAAACATATAGTAGGTTATATTTGATCTTTAAGTTAGATTATTATTTGGTTATATGGCCATTTCAAAACAAGTGGTTTGAGAGAACCGAACGGCGAAGTACGACCGAAAGGTATTGTGGGCACAGTCAGTTTTTTATGGATGTTTTGAAAACATGGACAAACCAGACAATTAAACCATCGCTGAAGATCTTCATTCGCTGGAAACGACAGTACTGACTGCCTTTATAAATGAGTAGATATTTCCATTATCAGTTACGTACCTATAATATTTTCACGGTCAATAAGCTTTCTCGAATTTTCTCCGCTGAAACTTGTTTTTTATAGTAACATTGTTTACGGTACGAAGCATCGTACAATCCAGAAAAACTAACAATTAATGAGAAGAAAGATGAAAATAAACAAAAGAAAGTAGACAATACAGCATGATATTTAGTATTCATCTCCCGTAGCAGCCATATGTTTGCTTTTAACCTTTGAAGACGAATATGGTCGAAAAAGGAGACAATGCTACATTGAACGTTAATGCTTTCAAGTGTCTCATCTGTTTCTAATGCCCGTAGATACTATAGCATATGTTTTTGAAAAAAAAAACGAAAAGAAAAACTAGGTAAAAACTAGATATAATCCGCTTTGCTGAAAAGCTGCAATAACTGTTTTAAAAATCTTCACTCTTTTCTCTTTATTTTCAACTCGAAGTTTTTCATCACTTGAAGAAGTAGAAAATATGTAAAAACTGGAGCGAATTCTTTTAGGTTTTTTGTAAATGAGCTAAACTACCATTTATATCATATATTCAATTAAAAAAACTGCCAAGACTTTTTGGTTGAAAGGATTATTGATTAYATAGTGATGGATCGGGTTAGACGGCTTTTGGAGGATGAAAATACCTCGATAATGGGAGAGGGTTTTTTATATATTCCTTTATTTTGTGGACAAATCAGAATACAAGTTCAAGTCGAAAAAATAAATGGCCAAATCTAAAACACACTAATTATTTATTTGATAAAGTTGAAAATGTGGCATAGTCGAGTTTGAAACGATTCATAGTCATACCACGTCATATCAAGTCAAAAAAAAGCTGCACTGAATACAGCGAACAAATTGAAAAAGCAACCACTATTYCCATAATAGAATCCTTTGGCGTAACTTTGTTTTCTTTCCCTAAAAAAATATTGKAAATTTCTTTATTCATAAGTCTCGTTCCATCACTATCTTAATTTCGCTTTTAAAAAGCGCTTTCACGYTCAATATTTGTTGATTGATATGTACGTCTCATATTGGGTTYAGACCWACAAAAAACTTAACTAACCAACCAATATTGTGGTGAACCGTGACTAAGACAAAAGGACTCACGTTGGCAAAGGCTTTGTTGAAATAACGTTTTATTGTTTCTTATAATATTTGACATCAAATGACATCAATATGTTTAGATATCGTTTTCACTTGGTAGGTTGAAGTTACTTGCTGTTCTATACACGTATAATTGCGGTTGATGTGAATAGCTTCGTTATACTATATAAAGGCCTTTTCATGCATTATGCCCATATTGATGTAAAAAAACTTTCTTAGTTTTCCAAAGATTTCTGGCTACAGTACACAGCAGACAGTTTGGATTGTTCTATAATCAACTRCTCTATACAACCCCAAAGGTGTTTACAGATGCTGAGTCTAAACAAACAATAAGCTTAAATCAGTATTGACAAAACTCTTTTAATGACTTCCCTTCGTCAAGCTTTTATTGTGAACACCCAATATACTAATTCCACAAATGTAAAAGTTTATCTAATTCTGAAYAGAACAACGGAAACATTTGAAGCTTTCCGTCATAAAGCTTATAATTGAGAAATATTGGACGCGGTAACTGCACTGGATAAGCTCTGTAATCAACGTAAAAAAAWGAGGCTTGGYCGATCTTGAAACGTCAAGAAAGAGAGTCCTCCACATCAAATACCAATAAAATAGTAATTTATCAAAGAGCCCCCCTTAATTTTTTTGTGTTTTTGTGTTTACTACTAATTATCAAAAACGATAAGAAATTCTAAGTATCATAGATATTCGTAATTTGATTATATGCTGTCTACAATTAACAATTTCCGCACCAACCAACAAYTCATAATTTTRAATGGGCGTCCTTGCAGTTTGATTGCAAAGGAACGTCAAAGCAAAGTGGCGAGAGACTGATAATTATATTTTTAAACTATATGCACTGGTATATGGTATATACTGTTTATAAAATGCCTACCAACTAATACACGATTAGTTTATTATTATATTAAGTGGGTACGTATTACGTTTTTTAAAGTGACGAAAATACACCAATATTTAGAAAAGTGCCAAGTCATCAAGGACAAGAATTAACTTTTTTCTGTCGATCTCAATCAAAAAASTGTCATTTAGAAAAGGCAAAGTGCATATAGAAATCAAATTTAAACTTCCCAGACTTCACAGATATGATGTTAAGGCGTATCCTTCTATTGGTCAAAAAAATGAAGCAATGGTTTATATTTATCATGTAACTCAGAAAATAGAATCGATTTGCGGTCGAGAAATTGCGTGACACGTACAGAAATAAACGTGTTTAATCATTTTTAACTGATGTAAACTTACTTTATCAAGGTTATCAGATGCATGTTTTATAAAGATTTGGAATTTTAAAGCTAGTCTAGAGCTATAACCCCAGGGAGTACTACGACATAGATGTGAACGCGCGCTTCATCGCAGCTAAATAAGCTCTCGAAACCAGTATGAGTTTGATGCTACAAAAGATGCAATCAGATYTCAYGGAAAGTGCCTTTCTAGAAAACAGTTCCAGAAAGTAGCCATTGTTACTGTTGTTTATCAAAAGTATTTATCAATTTTAAATTGGAATTTTTTTCTCGAAATGATGTGATTATTATATTCGAAGGATAATCGTTTTTGACTGAATTCCATATYGTGAAGAGTTTCTATGCCACACCCATGAAGGTAATATTGTAATCTGCTTTTCTTGGGTAAATATGTACAAGTGATTTAAGTCACACGACAACTATTTCATCTTCATGTAAATCCTAATACGTTTTCAACTTAATGAAGCGTTTCCACCGCAGAAAACCGAAAAATTAGCGCATGGGAAAAAGTAAACAAGAATCAAAATTCGTGAATATATATACTAAGCCTTTTTCATGATTACAGTTCAGCGTTTTTGGATTCAGAATTAGAAACATTGAGGGATTATCTTGCAAAGTTACAATCTAAATWTATCGCTCAGAGGGAGGGATGGGCCTGCAGACGACATTGCAACGATATAAAAACATATTTTTCTTTTTCAGTCTGTTTTATGTAAAGTTAAATCCGCCAAACAAAGTCCAAAATCCTCCAAGAAAAGCTTAATTCGCTTTCGCATAATGACGCGAATGAGATATTTGCAAGCTTGTTAGAGGGGTAATTTGGCAATTCTTCCATCGCAGGATTAGATGGCCCCGTATTTGCTTACAAATTTTCCCAAATAAATTCTTTATCGTGGTTATTAGGACGGCGCCTTCGCGAGGTCGTGTTGACACGTTCAATTTCCTCACACTGATTTAAATAGATGGATCTCACGATAATACAAAATTACCACTAAAATGACTCTATTCTTTTAGAGATTCCGTTTGGCGCGTGATTAAGGGATCACAAATCAACAATTCTTTGTTGAATACAAACTCGATTTGACAATAAGCAGTTGACTGATGATGAGGTGGYRAGGATCACTATCTAGTCCGTAATTAAAGTATTCATGGGTAATTACTGTAGGGGGCTACAAGAGCGGAAAAGGAACTACGCAATCGCCATTGCGTACTTTGCAATCTGCAGATAAAGTGGGCGGATACTTCACGACTCAATTATTGTACTTCAAATTGGATCATTTGATTTTCAATAGGAGGCAAGAAATTTCGTCAGCTCATTAGTAAGCGGCCGTGCGGGTATATAATCTCGTCGCTGTAGCTCGATCAGCACACAGACGATAGCTGGCTTCTAGTTGTAGAACAACCTYGGTCTCTACTTCAAAACAACTTCCAAAATGAACTCAAAAGTATTAATCCTTCTCGTTGTTGTACTAGCAGCCACATTTATTACAGAAAGTGAAGGGTTTACGGCAGGAGCTGGAAATATAGGACGACGAGGACTGGTAAGATGTGACTTTAGAATTTTTTTTTGCGTTGATGTTTTCAGATAGTTATGCTACCTAGTTTTTCGACTCATTTCTTAAGTTTTTTCTCATTTTTGTAACTATTTTTCGCTTCTTGAATGTTTTTTTCTTTCTCTGCTTATTTGTTCCGATATTTTTCTCTAAGTTTGTTTGTTTACTGTTGGGCATAACCCTGTTGAAATTTCTAGCAATTTCTCAAGACTTCAAGGAGTCAGTCTTTGCTTTTCTGAGCATTTTACTTCAATTTAAAACCARTACATCTTTTGGAAACTGCATTTTTTGGAAATTATATCAATGTAAAAAATTGTCAAAAAGTTACTAGGTGTGAGCTGCCTCGATTTTGTTCAAAAAGCAATGAAAACGATGTTAAATTTCACCTTAAACATCATTCTCTTTGCGCTTTTTCATACTTTTCCTCGTGATACTTTGATTTCTCTATCGACTTTTACAGTAAGTTTAACATACTCAATACTGAAGTAAGGTGTGGAAAAAGKGAACTTCATTACAGCTCTATTCAACGCACAATTACAGTAGTCTGATGTCCACCTTGAACATCATTTGTTAGTTCCTGCTATGATAGAAAACGCAAGCAAAGTTCAATCAGATGACTCATTCAAACTGTACTCCACAGTGGCGATCGGATGTCAATGATCTCTTAACTGTTTTTACAAGTTCTTATATTCGTGGTTGATGCGAGATCCAAATCTTTCTCATATATTTTTGCGYACAACTAATTATATTTTGAATTCCTCTTTTTTTTGTCGCTCACTGAAAAAAGAATGTCTAAAGGAGCAATTTAAGGAAATTAACGAATAAGGTTCAATATTAATTGATAAAAACGTTTTGTCGTTCATGTCAGCCCACAATAATATCAACTCTAATACACAAATGTCACTCTAAATTCAAATCGAYGGCCYGCGATAATTACCACCGAGTTGTCAATGGTTTCTTTTGTGCCGGAAATAAAAGAATAATAATTTTTGAAAAACATCATAGCAAAACATTTCTGATGGGGCTTTTTTGGGAATGAAAAGCGGCATGTCGCCGGAGGAACAYGAAAATTGTCAGTATCAATAAACYGCTAATTGCATTTTGAGAAATTGTTTTGTTTTTAGAATGAGACAATAGTATATAGGAGAATGTATTTTCTAATTGTCTCSTGATCTTCCGCCATAGTTAGGTCAAACGAAATCGAGCACTCAGGGCTAGGCRTTTGTCTTTAACTACAACGAATTGATACACAGTTAGCTATTCAAAAGTGTCCAAAAAAAATGGTCGCTCGTGTTTTTGTTCCTTGATACAAGGACTCTAGGAGACAGGGAGAGCAGGGAAGCAGCCTTACTTAGAAAGTGCTTCTCTCATACACAAGCTATCGTCTCATATTTTTTCATATTCGTACAAAATAAATACATCATAAAAATGTAGCCATTTTTTTACTGAGACGACTGCTAAGGCGTGTCTCTCAGTGAATTCTGAGCCTGCATCATTTGAAATATGATATCTACAAAGACACAACAACATGCTTTTGTAGTTTTTTTAGTAGTTGGTCGTTCTTAGCGCAGCGCAAATCCGTAACCGAATGCTAAAAAAAATTATCATGTTTTCTTCCAGACAAGAGTACGGTTTGAAGGACTTTGCAGCGCCCTCGCCACATACTGCACAGAATTACCCGTCCAAAGACGATTCACMGCCGAGTCGACAAAAGACCACGAATGAACACAGAATTATAATTATTTAGAATAATGGAAAACAGAAGCAATTGCTACYACCGGAATTTCAAATACYAATACCCCCCTCAGTAATACCTGGGACCATCGATCAACGACACAAGTTGTAAATTTGTCAATGTTTCAATAAATTATTTGCAGCTGCAAATTGTTGTAATTGTTACTTTAGTTGGGTTAGAATACTAACTATATGATATCCTAGAAACCGGAATAGTTATTTAGTTTCGATTGACGGACATAAACATTGTTTTCACTAGCGACGCAAGGACAAACGCAAAGCAAGGGCAAGAAGTTGAACTGGGGTTGTGTTTCGTTTTCATTAGCAAAGCAAAATCAAACGCAAGAAAAGASGAAAATTTTTTGATATCTTGCGCCTGCTTTATCGGTGTGTTGAGCGTTTTTTACTACGCTAYAAATTAGACCTCTTGCGATTGCGATTGCTCTTGCCGAAAACTAGGACGGCTTTCAGYCATATCAAAGAAATAGGAAACTGGCGGCCATAATGTAGCTACAGCCCAATMTTGTACGTTTTGACATGGGAGCAAAGTCGACTCGCGAGTACATATACTAACGCTGAGTTAACCATGTCAACGCTGATCAGTCTTTAAACGCAGCCCGGCGCGATTTCAACTTTTATAATAGACCCGTGTTGTGCAGGCGTGGCCTTCATACATTTGCTAATCGAGCCTCGCCCAAATCTTAACGACTTAACCAAGAATTACGTCGCATTATTGATATTTAGATCAATCATAGAGTACAAACATCAAATGTGTGCAACACTTTCCACTATTTACTACAAAATAGTGTTAATTWAACAATAGAAAACAATAGAATTAGCATAATTYAGCAGTATTTARTGGTATCTATGTTGCACAGTTTTAGTGTTTGTACTCTATCAATTCTAATGCCAAGATTTTATTTGTTACTATTTGAGAGCCAGCAGATGGACATTCAGACGCTTTGTTTAAATCAGAAAAGGTGTAGACGATCGAMTTCTAACGTAAGTCGATCGTCTACACCTTTTCTGACGTTAGAAGTCGATCGTCTACACCTTTTCTGATTCAAACAAAGCGTCTGATACGACAACGAATTCTCTGAACGCGAASCTGATGCGCAGACGCAGTATACAACCTTGYMCACCGATCGCTTTTAATGAGAGATTCAAAGTTCCAATTATCAAAATGATATTATGCAAATTACGATATATGCATCAATAGATATTGTTGTTTGGCAAAATTTGTGCAAATTTAATTCACTGTATCCTATTACCATCCTAATCAAATAATGTCATTATACGTTATTTTAATGGTTAAAACCATTCTTTGCTTTCCTACCTTTCTTCCATGTTTCTTTTGCCTTTCTTTCTTTCTTTCTTTCGTATTACAGTGTACTACACGTATAAATATTCTTGGTGTGATTTCTCATGACCAGACCAGAAATCCCCTGAGAAATAAAGAACAAAGCTATCGCCGCCATGTTGGATGAATGAACAAGAGAAACTAATGAGGGATGCTTTGTGATCTTCATGCAACATGGCGCTGATGATGTAACTTGCAAGCCAAGAATGTACTTCAGTACATCATCAGTGTCATATTGATTCTAATTCTTCTATTTTCCTGCGTCAAGTAGGTTTAGGTTGGCAAACTTACCCAAAAATCGCTACTCAATGTCTCTCAAAAGAGTTCCACAAAGTTTCCAAGAGTGTTTACTCAGTCCAGGCTATTCTGTTAGACAACTGTTACTTATTGTTCATTGACCAACACTTGAACTTCAATGTCTTCTGACTATTGTCCCCAGTCGTCTTTCTCTTCCTCTCGCGCGCAATGAAGTTACGCACGATTGCGTACAGAAGCGAATCAGCTCAAGATCATTCACTTTATATTTTTGTGTTGACAATATGCGTCTTGTTTCCAATTCCTATAGATTTAAGTTTTTTTCTTGTTTTATATACATTTTAGAAAAGAAGAAGTCAAAAGTGGCCAAGAACAAAGTCTGGACTACTTTTTCAAATTAACATGAGGAATGTAATGTTGCATATCACGTGACCGCGGGAAAATGGGATGTACCTTCTCATATTAAATCACGAAATTTAACGTCAAGTTACAAATCTTTCCTGCAGCTCGAGTAAGCGCTCTAAGAGCGTCAAGTTGTCAAAATATATGCTTTATAATTGACACAAAAAAAAAACAACAAACAAACTTGCCAACAGTTTGTGCTGTGATCAAGAGGAAAGAAACCCTCTCCAAACCCTTGGAATGTAAGTTGTCTGCCAAGCAGAAGATATTTATCAAAATATTACTTTCACTCAAAGGCATTTCAAAAAATATTTTATTGATCAATTTATAAATTGCTCTTAAATGACGTATCGGAACTATTTCTTCCCATCACCAATCTGAGTTAACATATGTTACCTCTTTGAGTCCTTTCTCAGTTTTGATTCAGTAATGTTACTTATTACGGCATGTATTTGTCTCAATATTATATATTTTCAACTCAAAGAATACCATCAGAGAGCTGAAACTCTTTTGTATGCCTGACATCAAGGCAGGAGCAGTGAACTGTTYCATATGAAACTTCACCTCTATAGGCACTTAGCAAAAGGCTTTTGTACATACTACAAAATACAAGTGACTTGTGGATTCACGTCTTTCCATACCCAGATTTCAGTAACCATTAACAAAGAATCGAAACTCATGGGTCAAGGAACAATGAACACAGATTTTTCAATTCATGGTCGGTATACCTTGAAACCTCAGTTCAATGCTTTGCTCATGAATGGTTATTGAATCCAAGTATAGAATCGTGGGAAAAACTCTAGATATTGATGAAATATCAGGATCAATAGCATTCTAATTTATTCCTAACGTTTTGAATGTATCCTAGACCGACTGGTGTCCAGTGACACAAAAATATATGAAAGATACGTGTAGAATTTCATCAATATCTATATAATAATATATTGTATTATAATAGTACAAACACAAAAAGTGTGCAATARAATTCAAGCACTAAAATCATGAAAAACTTAGATGTGCTAAATTGCACTGAATTATGCAAATTCCTTTGTTTTCTATTGACTAACCTACGCTATACTATTTACCACTATTTGTTTAGAATGCTTTTAGAGTTAGTCAATGTAGTRAAGTCTTTTGTGTCTAACACACTTTAATAGTCAGATTTTGTTTCGCAGGTTTAGTGACCTCACTTTAACCTGTGAAACAAAATTTGACTTTATTAAAGTAAAAACAATGCAATTAGAGTGGTAGAGTGATCGCACTTAAACTGCCTGCAACTGTACAAACTAAATAGTGCTATTTAGTTGTATTTAGTAAATCGTCCATGCGGTACGCAAATTAAATTGAATTGATACAAATGAAGCATTTAATACTGTCTTGTTTCAGGTCCACTTTTAGTACAATTAGTACTACTTAGATTTTGTACAGTTGCACAGCCGTTTTTAAGTGCGATCACTCTACTAAAAAGGTGTATAACTGTATCATACATAATTTATGTATTTCAGAGATTTTTTGACTWCATTGTGGTGAATTGCACTCTACTTACCAAATAGGTCTACAATAGAATTAGCATAATTCATTTAAATTTTGTTGGACACTTTTAGTGTTTGTACCTTCATTTTATTTGTCAATATTTACAAACCGTAATAACATAAATTATGTTTACTTCTGTTTTTTTTTTGTATTGTTAAATTGATTTTCAAATTTTCAGACAATCAGTTGCCTTGTATCACTTCATTTTGCTGTGGAACAAGCGAAGTAAAAAAAGTGGAGATGAAGCTCAGTGCAACCCTAAATGTYGAAGGACCTGGTGGWGGTTGGGGTTCCTGTGGTTGTGGTGATTCTGTGTTTTCAGTTTCACCTTGATCTGTAGTTACTTCTTCTTCACTACTACTGTCTCCTTCTTGTTCTGTATTGTTATCTGTATCATCCTGGATATGAAGGAAAATACTTAGTCAAGAGGATCTTGTGAAAATGGAGACACTCCTGCTATTATATCTG